ACACACACACACACACACACACACACACACACACACACAAGGCTCGGTGCACAAATTTGTACACCAGTGGGGTCCCTCACCTGGTCTGCGGGATCGGGCTGAAACCAGCTCTCTGACATCCCCCGAGGGGTCCTGGATTGTGAGAGGGTGCAGACCAGGCCAAGGGACCCTACCGGTGCATGCAATCAGGGCCGGGGAGGGATGTGGGAGGGCTTGTCCAGCCCATCTCACTCAGTCCCAATTGGCCGGACCCCAGCAGCAAGCTAACCTACTGGTCAACTGTCTGTCCCCTGGTGGTCAGTACATGTCATAGCGACAGGTCAACCGGTCAACTGTCTGCCCCCTGGTGGTCAGTGCATATCATAGTGAGTGGTTGAGCAGCCTTAGCATATCATTAGCTTTTTATGCTTTGATTGATTGAACGGCCAACTGGTCAACCAGACACTTAGCATATTAGACTTTTATGATATATGATATTAAAAATCTCTTTGCTTATAGATTTTTAAAAATTTTTTTAACTTTATTTTTATTTTGAAACTATTACGGATATCCCCATTTTGCCCACCTCCATGCAGCCTCTGGCCCTCACCACACTGTTGTCTGTGTCTATGGGTTATGCATATATGTCCTTGGCTAATCCTTTCACCTTCTTTCATCCAGTCTGCATCCCCCTTCCCTCTGAGATCTGTCAATCTGTCTCATGCATCTGTGCCTCTGGTTCTATTTTGTTCGTCTGTTTATTTTGTTCTCTAGATTCCACATGTAAGTGAGAGATCACATGGTATTTGCCTTTCTCTGACTGGCTTATTTCATGTAGCGCCGTATTCTCCAGGTCCATCCATGCTGTCCCAAAGGATAAGTGTTCCTTCTTCACAGCCACGTAGTATTCCACTGTGTAACTGTACCACTTTCATTTCTGATTTCTCAATGTCGGAGAACTGCCACTCACCCTTTCTGCCCGCCCCATGCCAGGCTGGAGAGCTGCAGTCTGACTTCTGCGTGCTGCAAGGACCTCTCCTCAGCACTCAGCGTCAGAAAGAGCCTGGTGAACCTGAACCTCCTGGGGAATGACCTGGGGCCCGAGGGCGTCAACACACTGTGGAAGTCTCTGCAGAAACCCTCGTGCAAACTGCAGAAACTTGGGTAATGCCCCTGGCTTTTACATCCCCCCTTGAGGTGTGGGGAAGGGTTGGGTAATAGATAGATATTAGGGTCTAGTGCACACATTCGTGCACCTTGAAGGAACTGTGGGCTGTGAGGCTGTGTTGGGTACAGGGGTGGGTCTCAGCCCATCCTCTGCACTCCCACCCAGCCCCTCCCACCGTGGCCCCCGGTCCCCTCTCTGCTGGCAGCCTCGCTCCCGCTGCCGCAGCTCCCACATGCTGACGGTGCCGGCCTCACTTGCACCCACTGATGGCACAGAATGATTGGGGCCGGCACGAGCAGCGGGTGCAAGTGGGGCCAGTGCTGTCAGTGGGTGCGAGCAGCGGCTGCTGCCCTGATTGCCACTCAGGAACAGGGGGAGGTGGGGAAGCCCTCAGGGGGAATCGGGGCTGGCAGCCACTGCTCGCACCCACTGATGGCGCTGAGCGATTGGGACCCGGTGGGACCACAGCACAGGGGAGCAAAGAATTTTCAGTAACTACCAAAGGCTTACCCTGGTGACAGTGACTGGCTCCCCGCCTTGGTCTGGTGACCCCCGCTCACCTGCTCTACCATCCCGCTGCGGATGATGCCTGCGATGTTCCGTGTGTGTGCGCCCCCTGGTGGTCAGCACACATCATAGTGACCGGTTGTTCGGTTATTCCACCATTTGGTCTATTTGCATATTAGGGTTTTATATAGAGAGATTCTGTTTATTTATTTGTTTTAACTTTTAAAAAAATATATTTTTATTGTTGATAGTATTACAAATATCTCCCATTTTCTTCCCTCCTTACACCCCTCCTTCCCCTATTCACTCCAGGTCTTCAGTACCCAATTGCCCATGTTCATGGGCTATGCATATAAGTATATAAGTTCTTTGGTTTATCTCTTTTCATCCTCCCTCCTCCCCCCACCCCACATCAAGGTATGTCAGTCTGTTCCATGCCTCCCTGCTTCAGGTATTATTTATTTTTTAAAATATATTTTAGCTGGTTTGGCTCAGTGGATAGAGCATTGGCCTGCGGACTGAACCCATGAGGGTCATGGGTTCCATTCCAGTCAAGGGCACATGCCTGGGTTGCAGGCTCGATCCCCAGTAGGGACCATGCAGGAGGCAGCCGAGCAATGATTCTCTCATCATTGATGTTTCTATCTCGCTCTCCCTTTCCCTTCCTCTCTCTGAAATCAATAATATGAGGACAAACAGGTGAGCTTTTATATTTATCCTCTTAGCCAATCATCTCTTCTAATTCTCTATTCTTTTTCTTTTCCTTTTTCTTGTTTTTTTTTTTGGCTTGTTTTCTTGCAGGCTGGAGAAAGACTTATACCATCTCGTAGAAGGGAAGTTGCAGGACTTACAGGAGAAGGGGCATTTTCTGAGAATCCTGTGTAAGTGGGATTTCAATGAGCTTGAAGACAAATGGTGGTGGTGACCAAGGATGAGATGCCCCTGCTTTCCCGTGGAAGGTTCTGGAACACAACCACGAGGAGGTCCTCACCGATGTATTGTTCAGGCGCCACTGTTTGTGGGATGAATGGGCTGTCGCCTCTATTGTTTTTCCAGTGTTGTGGGCAGCATATTAAACGCCCAACCTCCAGAATCCTCATCAAATACTGTATTCGACCCCAAGAGCCTATGTTGACTTTAAGTTTTGTTTTTTTGTGTTTTTTTTGTCTTTCTTTGATGTAATGTTTGAAATTCTTGTGTTGCAAAGATTCAATAAAGCGAAGCATATAAAAATAGATGGAGGAAACCCAAAGCTTCATTTCTTATGGACTGAGCTGTGGTAATGATGTAATTATTATTTCATAATTATTGTACTGTGATTAAATAAGGCAGACGGACTTCCAGAACCACTCTTTTCTCTTTTTCCCCCTATTTTTAAAATTTATTTTATATTTTATTCTCTCTTCCCCCTATATTTTATTTATTTATTTATTTACAACCACTCTTTTTTAAAAAATATATATTTTATTATTTTTTTACAGAGAGAAAGGGAGAGGGATAGAGAGTTAGAAACATCGATGAGAGAGAAACATCGATCAGCTGCCTCCTGCATACTCCCTACTGGGTATGTGCCCGCAACCAAGGTACATGCCCTTGACCAGAATCGAACCCGGGACCCTTGAGTCTGCAGGCCAATGCTCTATCCACTGAGCCAAACCGTTTAGGGCAATTTACAACCACTCTTAATCCCCATCATGTTTTTGGAATTTTCCGTTGGTCTAGAATTTTTGAATTTGTCACAGAGTCCCTTAAATTAGGTCAAAGTATTTCAAAAATGTTTAGAATCCTTGAAGATGGTTTCAAAGACGCTTCTTAGTCATGTCAAAGTGAGTTGGGGGCCCTGGGATCAACAACACCAGGCCCCCCCCACACACACACACACCCTCCGGAATAGGGATGCCCGTCCTGGGTGTGTGCACCTGGCTCTCGGGGGATCCACACAGCCTTCCCGGCGACAGGGAGACTGGCATTTGAAGGCTCAGTGTGAGGACAAATCCACCTTCAGCTTGGGGTGGGGTGGTCCTTTCTGCACCACTGCGCCTCCACTGATACCAGCAGCTCTGCCCACTGAGGTGTCACATGGATTCCACGCATTGTGTGCTAGTGTCTTGCTGGATCAGAGTTCAGTTCACGGCCGTCTGCATCCCTCACACCACCCACCTCCCACCTCCCTCCCATCAGAGTATTTATTTTATTTTTTAACTTTATTTTTATTGTTGTCACTATTACAAATGTCTCCATTACCCACTTCCATCCAGACCCCCCCCCTTTCTTCTGGCCACCACCAGACAGTTGTCTGTGCCTATAGGTTATACATAAATGCTCTTCACCTTCTTTCATCCAACCCAAGAGAGAGAGAGAGAAAGGGGGAGAGAGAGAGAGAGAGAGAGAGAGAGAGAGAGAGATTGAGTTGAGAGAGAGGGAGAAACATTTTGTTGTTCCACTTATTCATGCATTCATTGGTTGATTCCTGTACTAATATATGACCTGGCGAAGGATTGAACCCACAATCTTGGCATATCAGGATGATGCTCTAACTGAATGAGCTACCCAGCCAGGGCTAGAGTTATTTATTATTATTTTAAAATATCTTTATTGATTTCAGAGAGGAAGGGAGATGGGGAGAGAGAGAGAGAAACATCAATGATGAGAATCATTGATTGGCTGCCTCCTGTATGCCACCTGCTGGGGATTGAGCCCACAACCTGGGCATGTGCCCTTGACCAGGAATCGAACCCTGACTTCCTGGTTCATAGGTCGATGCTCAACCACTGAGCCACATGTGCCAGGTGAGGGCTAGAGTTATTCTGATCCTTCTCTCCGTTGCCTTCATAATGGCATGTGCTACCCTTGTATGTCTAAGTAGCTACCTTAAAGACTCAGACTCCTGTACAAGACGACATTTGCAAGGTTGTCCATTTAGTGGAATTTATAGCATCAATTATTAGAAACCACCTGAATGCCTGTCACTGTGGAGGAATAGAGCATTCAAATGAAGGACTTATATGCACACTGCCATTGTATGTGTCAGGTCAAAAAACAAGGGTAGATAGATTGATATTGATCTATCTATCTATATCTATATACCTATATATGTATATATGTATATGTATATGTATATGTATATGTATATCTATCTATATCTATATCTATATCTATATCTATATCTATATCTATATCTATATCTATATCTATATCTATATCTATATCTATATCTATATCTATATCTATATCTATATCTATATCTATATCTATATCTATATCTATATCTATATCTATATCTATATCTATATCTATATCTATATCTATATCTATATCTATATCTATATCTATATCTATATCTATATCTATATCTATATCTATATCTATATATCTATATCATAGATATATAGGGTGTCCCAAAATGTATACACACACTTTGAATAATTATAAAGGCAGTGTTTGCCCAGCCAGCACGGCTCAGTGGGTGAGCGTCGACCTATGAACCAGGAGGTCAGGGTTCGATTCCTGGTCAAGGGCACATGCCCGGGTTGTGGGCTCCACCAGGTTGTGGGCTCCATCCCCAGTGTGTGTGTGTGTGGGGGGGGGGCATGAGGAAGGCAGCCAATCAATGATTCTCATCATTAATGTTTCTCTCTCCCTCTTACTTCTTCTCTGAAATCAATAACAAATATATTAAAATGTATTAAAAAGCGACAACAAACCAACGCCCACAAATCAATGTTCCTCTCTCTCTGTGAAATCAATAAATAAAAAATTTTTAAAACAGGATTTACAACATGATTTAAGATACAAAACTTTATTGAGGGTTTAACATGTCATTGTGAAACAGGGAGGACCAGTTATCTCGAAGGCCTCTCCATGGCTTGCCACAAAGTCACAAGGCAAATAAAACCCACGTTAATACGCAATTTATAAAACACATCTGAACGGGGTCCCAGGAGAATCGGGGCTAGTAATTTGCGGTTCCTGGACACAGAGCAGGTACATTGGTGTGTGTGGGTGTGTGTGTGTATGGGGGAGCGGGGACTCTGATACTTATCCTTGGGAGCTGCTGTTGAGTCGGACAGTCCAGGTTGCTTGCAAGCCCATGCCTGCCCCTCTGGTTCTGGGCCTGGTCCCATCACCGATGGGTGATGGTCAAGCAGGGGTTTCTCTCTTCCTCGGCCACCAGGAGTTCCTGGGTTTCCTCGTCAAATTCAGCTTTCTCCAGCCTGGCAAGTAGAGAAGGGGCTCTATTTAACTCATGCACGTCTTTCCTTCTCTGTGTCTTTTAAATATATATATATAATTGATTTTTTTTTTTTACAGAGAGGAAGGGAGAGGGATAGAGAGTTAGAAACATCAATGAGAGAGAAACATCGATCAGCTGCC